CTGCAGAGGCTAACTCACAAAACCAATATGATAGGTTTCAATTGCTTGGGGGTTTTCTGTGTTGAGGAAATGAGCTATTAGTTGCCTGCTTTCTCCTAGCACAGGGAGAAAGCAGGAGAATTCCTCAGCTGATCAGTGGAATTACACTGATAGCACCTTTTGGTCTCTTCTGCTTTCACAGGAGATTTGGGATGAGGGTTAGAGGAATGTTTTTGGGTAAGAGAATGTTTAGGTTCCCAACCCCCTTCTCTCTTCCCAGGGACAAAATGGGATCCTCCCTTCCCACCAGTTTTAAACCCCTCTTTCTGTGGCCTGTCCTCAATAGATGCCTGAATTTGTTCGAAGGCATCAGCTAAAAAAAACCATCTCATCCACAAACTTTACATCTTTGTCTTACATCGGCCTTACGTATGCTTAGGAAATGCTCTTGAACAACAAGATCCAACATTCCCTCAAAACTTGCCACCTCTTTACCCCTCACCCATTTTCCCAACAAATATTTCATTTTGTTTCCATATTCCCCATTACTCACACCAATAACCCTCTTAAGATTCCTAAATTTAACTCTATGTATTTCAGGGGTAATCTGAAAACTTCACAAAACAATATCTTTAAATTTACAATAGTCTAAAGCATCTTCAATAGGCATTCCATTGAATACATTTTGAGCTTTACCAGTTAATGTCGCAATCAGGGTAGGAACTCTCTTATCATCAGGGATTTCATGTACTACGCACAGCCTTTCAAAGATAGTCAGATATTCAGCAATATTGTCCTCTTCACTGTATGCAGGACATAAAGTGTTCCCATTTGTGGATTTTTGGAGTGATGGGAGTCGTTGGGGGCGGCAGGGGGTGTTCTGGTTCTGCTTCTCTAGCAGGTAGAGTTGGTGTTTTCGCTCTCTCTTTCTTCTCTCTCTTTTTCTTCCATGGCCCTTCTGTGTGCAGCCTCCTCTCTGGCTGACTCTTTTTATCTCCAGTTCTTTCAGTTGCAATAATCTCTGGTGCTCCCTCTCCTTTTCTGCAGATAAATTGCAGCCTAAAAAGCTCCAACGTTGCAATCGCTGCACTGCTTTCACTCATTTTCCTGCTTTTCTGTTCCTACTTCCCTTTCCCGAAATAAGCAAATAGAAAATAACAAAACTGTGACCTCCTTCTGACTGTTCTTAGCCACTGCACTTAAGACTCACTTAAAACCACAAATATCAGTGCTTAAAGTATCAGAGGGGTAGCCGTGTTAGTCTGGATCTGTAAAAAGCAACAAAGAGTCCTGTGGCACCTTGTAGACTAACAAATGAATTGGAGCATAACCTTTCGGGGGTGAATACCCACTTCGTCAGACGCATGTAATGGAAATTTCCAGAGGCAGGTATAAATATGCAGGCAAGAATCAGTCTAGAGATAACGAAGTTAGTTCAATCAGGGAGGATGAGGCCCTCTTCTAGCAGATGAGGTGTGAACACCAAGGTAGGAGAAACTGCTTTTGTAGTTGGCTAGCCATTCACAGTTTTTGTTTAATCCTGAGCTGATGGTGTCAAATTCGCAAATGAACTGAAGCTCAGCAGTTTCTCTTTGAAGTCTGGCCTGGCGAGGACTGGCCTGCCTCCCAAAGTCTGTGAAAGCAAGGGATCATTGTCCAGGATGTGTTGTAGATCACTGATGCGTTGGAAAGGTTTAAGCTGAGGACTGTAGGTGATGGCCAGTGGAGTTCTATTGGTTTCTTTCTTGGGCTTGTCTTGCAGCAGGAGGCTTCTGGGTACACGTCAGTCTCTGTTGATTTGTTTCCTTATTTCCTCGTGCGGGTATCGTAGTTTTGAGAATGCTTGGTGAAGATCTTGTAGGTGTTGGTCTCTGTCTGAGGGGTTGGAGCAAATGCGGTTGTACCTCAGCGCTTGGCTGTAGACGATGGATCGTGTGGTGTATCCAGGATGGAAGCTGGAGGCATGAAGGTAGGCATAGCAGTCAGTGGGTTTTCGGTATAGGGTGGTGTTAATGTGACCGTCACTTATTTGTACCGTGGTGTCTAGGAAGTGGACCTCCCGTGTAGATTGGTCCAGGCTGAGGTTGATGGTGGGGTGGAAGCTGTTAAAATTGTGGTGGAATTCTTCCAGAGTCTCCTTCCCATGGGTCCAGATGATGAAGATGTCATCAATGTAGCGTAGGTAGAGAAGGGGCGTGAGTGGACGAAAGCTGAGGAAGTGTTGTTGGAGAGGTTTAAGCTGAGGTCAGCTTAAACCTCTCCAATGCATCATCAGTGATCTACAACCCATCCTGGACAATGATCCCTCGTTTTCACAGACCTTGGGAGGCAGGCCAGTCCTTGCCCACAGACGACCCGCCAACCTTAAGCATATTCTCACCAGCAACCACACACCGCACCATAGTAACTAACTCAGGAACCAATCCATGCAACAAACCTCGATGGCAACTCTGCCCACATATCTACACCAAGTTATAACATTACCGGTTCATTCACCTGCACGTCCACCAATGTTATATACGCCATCATCTGCCAGCAATGCCCCTCTGCTATGTACATCGGCCAAACTGGACAATCCCTATGTAAAAGGATAAATGGACACAAGTCAGATATCAGGAATGGCAATATACAAAAACCTTTAGGAGAACACTTCAA